AATTGTTACTTTGTCAAAAAGTAAAAGTAACGATAACAAATTAAAATTTAAAATAAAAATATAAAACATTACTTTAAATTGCATCATTTTACAAAACATTGATTAATGAAAATTCAATTATTTTATCTGTAGTTATAATAAAAAACATTCAAAGAATTGCAACTAGATTGCAATTAGAAATAAGGAAGAAAGTTTTCAATTTGAATTTGGCCAGACAGAAGAATCATTTAGCAAAAAATATTTAATAACAAGCAGTAATTCTGAACTCGATCTAATGTGTTGACAGAATGAAGTTCAAGATCATATAAGAGGACATAGGAATTATAAAAGTAGCTTTAATAAACATATGGTATTAAAACTATTGTATTAAGGTATACTATGTATTATACCATATGACTTTAATATGCATGTTATAGTAAAGGTTTACAGAAACAGCTGCAATTGAGACTATAGATTAGATGGATGCAGAGATATTTAAAGAAAATTCTATCAAGTTAGTTATTGATAACAGTAAAGTTATCATGAAAAAACTAGGCAGTCATTTAGAGTTTAGAGAATGCAGAACTTGCATTATTGATTGAGTTTTTTTAATGGTAGATAATACAAAAGTTCTATTAATCAAAATAAAAGCTGAACACCATACAGTATATCAAGAGCCCGGTAATAGGTATTTTTTGTGCTTCACACCTGCAAAAACTAAAAAAAACTAAAATTAATGCTCCAAATACATATATAAATTTTTGAAATAAGAATGGCACTGATAAAAGCTTAAAAGGAATGTTAAAAATGATGGTCAAATGGAGAAACCCAATGGCTGGAAATGAAATTGGAAAGGAAAATGAACTGGCTGGTTTCTGCACTTCATACATATGAACTTACTCTGTGACACTTGATAAAAATTTATGATAGAAAGACTTTGAGCAGCAACAAACTATTATTGGCAGTATTGGAAAACTATTAACTGATGCAACTGCTCTGAAAATTAATCTTTTAAAAATATAAAGAATGAATTTATCTTCTACTAGTTTTATTAGTACAAAAATGAATTCATCAAAGATTTACTCTCAGTCCAGTTTTATGAATACAAAAAAGCAGAAAATTTTTTTTAGATTTTTTTAGAAAATTAGAAGCAGAAATAAACTCAAAGGCTCAGTATAACTTGAATTTAGCCTATTTAATCATTCCAGACGATTGATAGATAGACTTTGCAGAGTTAAAATTTAAAAAATCCTAAGTTAATAACTAAGTTCATTGTGGGGGTTTACACATTTATGTGGTTTAGAATTAAAGTCAATTACAGGTTTATTGCAGGACCAAGAAACATTTTTTACCAGCCTTCTAAAACATCAAGTAGTAGCGGAAATTTTATACAATCAGTTCAACCTTTAGCACTGCATGCTTTTTCTGAATATATGATAAAAACCATGCTCTGCTTGGAAAATAAAACATGCTCTGTTTGAAGATTCAAGAGGAAAGAAAACATAGCATAGAATTAATTATGGAAATCAGAGACCCTGGTGACAAAAAACTTGTATTAAAACTTCAAACTTTTATTAAAAATGTGAAAACCAGAATTACTCCAAAAGTCTACTTTGATGCAACAATTCTTAAACAGCTTATTGAATTTTCTATTTCATGAGTTTATTTTTACTTGTGATCTGACAACAGAAGAAGTAAAAGAGATAATATTTCAGCCTACGAATTTTCTGTGTTGCCTGGACACTAAATTAAAGGAAGAGTTGAAAATGTAACTGAAGCAGCAGGCAAAGTATATTCTCATAAAAAAAGGGGAAAAAAAAAGAGATAAAATTTTGTCTTAAATTAAAAAGTTAAGACACTATTTTATCATGTTTTAAAGACTAAAGGTTAATAAGTAAGAGGTGAGTAAAGATGGCCAAATATTTAAAATAAGGGCAAAAATGTTCAGAAAAATCATTGTTCATGAGCAGTGGTTTGGCCAACCCTGCAATAAAAGTATTTTAAAAAATTTTGTAATATCACTTCAAGAAAATGGAAAAAGTATTCTCTAAAATAAAGGTCTAGATAAAAATTAAAAAAAATAAAAACAAAAATGCAGTTTCACTAACATTTTTATGTTACCTGATACAAGGAAAAACAATGTTGATTACTTTGATGATGAAGCAAACAATGTTACTTACTCTTATGCTTCGTCATTTATTCTTAGTTATGCTACTCTCAAAAAATTCAACAACATAAATTCTAATATGCATCTTATAATCCAGAATATTTAAATTTTGAATTATTGTCACTACATGCCTCTGCTTTCAAGAGTGTAGTGAGGGTTGCCATGTTAAGACTAAGACTTTAGTGTGCACAGGTGTGTTAGAAGCTAATTTTTGCTTTTAACTTGTTCTTTATGTTAAAAATAAGAAAAAAGAAATTTTTACATTTGGGAAAATTTTACATTTAGGAAAAAAAAAAAAAATTTTACATTTGGGACGGGAACATATGACATCAAACTTATTACAATCAACAACAACAACAAAAATAGTTGGAAATTAAAAAAATGTATGTTATACAAAACAGGTTGTCAGGTGGAACAAAAAATATGTAAAAACCATATGCTGAAAACATTTCCTTCCCTAGATATACCACTTTTATGAATGTATAAAACATAGACCCAGAACTTACAGACTCACATAGAAAGACTATGTGGTTGTGGTGGACTAAATGGTTCATTCATCCTAGAATTATATATATTATATATTAATAATGCATTTTGGTAAAAGAGTTGTTATTGATATGAATTTTTTATTAAAAGCAATTATCTATTATATACAATGAATGAAAAGTTCATTTGAGGAAAATTTAGATTGTTTAATTGGCATGTTTTTCAATACGAATTATGTTTCATGCTACTTTTCTCAAAAAGCGAATAGTTTTTTTAAACAAGGTGTTAAGCATCATGATCTTCATATTTTTAAATTATATAAAAAAGATAAAAAACAGATATAGAGGATTTTAAGCCCCTGCTTTCCACAGATAAATACTACATGAGATAGAATCCTTATCAAAAGAAAAGCATTCAGTAGTACCTAACAACAGTATGACAAGCAATACCCAACAAGTAATCATTATGATGGAATAATGTTAGTAAACAGAATTCACAAAGGTGCTGGAATAAAAATGTAGAAGGCAAACCCTTTTTATTCTAAAAATAACATTACTAAAAAGAGACATAATACTTACTAAAACATTTAAACATAAAAGAATTATTTAAGATTTAAACATTAAAAGGAAAATTGCTTGTTCTACTTTTTCTTCAGGACTTCGCCAAACATTTCGTTATATCACTATTGAAAATTGCAAATGGTTATAACAAAACTAGACTTGTATTGATTGCTATTTTAGTCAGTTTCTTAAAACTAGAACAAGATTGAAGCAAACATCTGGAAACAATAAAAAGTACAATAAAGATAGAAGATAATTAAGATATTAGCAGTTTGTTATCTAATATATAACTGTATAATATATAGGCGACATAACTATATACCTATCAAAATATACTTATAATGCACTATACAGTCAAAGAATATATTTTTCAATTACATATGAATTAAAATCAGTCACAGATATCTCCAGTTTTGATATAAACTTGCTAAACCATGATCATGAAAAGGTGAACACGCTTCTTGCGCTCCATGCCATTGATATTGCAAGATGTAATCTGTTTTTAGAATGCTAGGTTTTCTCCCAAGATGCAGAAGTACTTTTGTTGCTAATATTTTACTGTGAATATCTACCTCCTTTAAAATACTTACAAACTGGAAAAAGATCAGAAGAACTCGACATCAGTAATAAAAATTGTTTTGAGACACTTGGTTGCAAATGACAAGATTCTGTATGCAATATTGATGTTAGATGATACTGAGTCATCATTCAAACCACTTTTTTCATGAATAGGAGGGGATTGAGGAGGGGGAAGTTGGTGTGGGGGGTGGGGATGTTAGAATGTGGCTTTTTTGTTTTGACAAATATATAAATGTGATGCCATTGTGGTATTCATTCCCATACAAACATACAGTACTGAACTTTTTAAAAAATTGATATACAACTTTATGTTTTTAATAAAAAAACATTTAAAATGAAATTTGTCAATATGAAAAATCAAAGGAATTAAACAACTTGAAATTCAATTAAAACAATCCTTCATGCATATATTCAATAGATAACATAAATTTACATTAATTAAAATTCTCTAAGCAAAATTCATCTGGATATATAACAAAATTGAAATAAAAAACCTTTTTTTTTTTTTTTCTTGTGCCGGTCTATAAATTTTAAATCTGTAATTTATACACTCTGTAAGGTGTTATAACTTGTGAAGGAAACACTTTCAGGATATGATTTTTTAAATATTTTTTCAGCATATGTTTATTTTTATACATATTTTTCTTTCCGCTTGACAAGCTCTTTCATATAACATGTATATTTTTTAAATTTACAAATATTTTTTTTGTTGACTATAGGAAGTTTGGTGTCATGGATTCCAAATGTAAAAATTTTTTGTCACCCATTTTCTTCTTCTTAGTTTTAACCTAAAAAACAAGTTAGAAGCAAAAAGTTGCTTCTAATACAACTGTGCACACGAAGTACACAGTGACCCTCACTGGTATTTTTACATACGCTATGTATAATTATATAAATATAAATAGCATTACAAAAAAAGCCAAGCGCTTATTTCGTTATTATTCTGAAACAAGGTTTTGATACTCTTATGATCAAAGCAAAACCATATGCTTTTTTTTTTTTTTTTTTTCTCATATGCTTTTTTACAGGTACTTCAAAAATTATAATAAATCTTTGCATACTTAGTCTTGCATGAAAATCCTTATTTTTCTTCTTTTTTTTTATTAAAAAAAACCATCATTTTAGTTTGCATTTTAAAACTTGAAGCAAAAATATTAGAAAACACACTAAAGTTTGCTAAAATATACATATAAACATATACATATATAAATATAAATTTAAAATAATACCTATTTCAATTTTGACAAGATCTTTTAATGGAATTCGTTGATAAGAAAATAGTTGTTCTAATGCATCACTGTACCTAGACAATAAAATATGTAAAAAATATGTATAAATGGAAAAAATTTAATTGAAAAAAATATAAAGAATATGCTTAGTGTGATGTTTTTTATTCAGTGTAATTACTAACTTGACTTTACAATAAAACTTTTGACTTTATAGTAATTACTTATTTCCTTAATATGCAATAATAGTTGCATATTAAGTAATTAAGTAATAGCTGTATACGCTGTATGTAAGAAGCTCTCTGATAGCTTGGAAAGGATATTTGAGCTTGAAAAGGATCTCACTTCTGCTACAGCATGAGGGTCTCAGTGGCTGGTGAACTTTAACTCAGATAAAACTCAATTTTTTTCAGCTAATCATTATCGTAATCTAGATCTTCCTATGTTTATGAACCGTAATGTACTAAATGCGTCATCTACTCTTCATCTTCTAAGATTAACTCTTACTTCTAATCTTTCTTGGAAACCATATCAAATCAATTGCAAAAATAGTATCTGCTAAGGTTGCATCTCTTTATTGTGCTTGCCAATTTTTTAAGGTTAAATCTCAAATCCGCCCTTGTATGGAATACTGTTGGCATATCTAGGGCGGATATTCTAATGATGCCTTTTCTCTTTTAGACAAGGTGCAAAAACACATTGAAAACATAGTTGGACATGCTTTTACAACCAACCTCTAACTATTATCACATCATCATTATGTTGCTTCTATTTCTCTTTTCTATAAATACAATGAGCACTGCTCTAAAGAGCTAGCTTCCCTTGTGCTATCTACTAAAATTCATTCTTGTGTTACTTGTCATTCTATAAATTTTTATTCTTTTACTGTTCCTAAGTTCTCTAAAAATTCTTATTTTTCCAGTTTTTTTCCTTGAACATCAGTTCTTTGGAATTTCCTTCATTTTTTTTCCTGATATAATATCAGTCAATTGTTATCATGTTCTGTAAACTTTATCTTTTCTCTTCCAGTAACTTCCAACTCTAATAATGTTTGCTTGCAGCCTTAATGGAAGTTAAGATGTTTAGAAAAAAAAAGTTATTCAAAGGTAAATAATGAACAACTACTATCAAGAAATATCTAATAAATCAATGAAATGCAAAGAAAAAAAATTGCTGAAACCTTGCCACATAATATGCTTGATGTGTCAGTAGTAAAATTATATCTTCGTCTTGTGGAGATTCTGTGGGGTTAACGCTGAAATATTAAAAATATTAAACTAATATAAAATTTTATCAAAATGTTTTTCTAAAATGTTAAATTATTTTTTTCATATGGGCAATTTCATTTTTAACTTATGTTACATGCGCAACAACTTTATCAAGTATTTGCCTATTTAAACTGTAAATTAAATTTAGCTATTTTATATAAAAGCTATTAGTCAGAAGAATAAAATAAGCTAAAAAATTTTGAGTTTGGCCAAAAGAGGGCAAAATTATTACTGAAAATACCACTAAACTTACATTACGCAGAAAACAAGGTAAAAAAATTGGATCAACTCTTAGGTCAGATTTTGTAAATCAGTAAAGCAGTATGTATTGTAAATTTTTACAAGATGTTGAGAATTCTAAATACCAATTTTAAAAAATTTTAAAAACTCATCAGAGGATCAGGAGAATCAAATTTTTAAAAATTAAAATTTGAAGTTTTTTTGATACTTTTTTTGATACATCATTTAACTTATGTTACATCACTTATATTACTATGCAATTATTATCGTGGAATTTTTATATTTATTATAAAGAGTTTGATTTTTTAGAGTTACGTAAAAAAAGAATTGAAAAAGTATTGAACTTATTCATCAAGAGTAAATAACAAAGGCAATTTTAAAAAACTAGTGGCACTCTTCCTGACTGATTTTTCAAAACATTTGTTAAAGTTGTCCAATCAAAAAACAGTTTTATCCACAAGACCAAGAGCAACTTTAAAAAGTTACTTTAGTATGACAACTTTGTTAATATTTATCAAGTCATTTAAATAATAAAATCTTTTAGTTAGTTGAAAATTTTACTTACACTTTTTATGTTTATGTGCATTGCCTTATTTTCATTAGGTTGAATATTTAAAATACTGCAAAATATTTACATTTAAATCTTTTAAAATATTTTTGACATAAAAACTACTATCACAGTTTAGAAGGGATTGGGGATGCAGATATATGTGATCATTTGTGACAGGAGGAAAGGGGCTAAAAATTGACAAATATAGGGTGACGTACTTTATGGATGAAACCCTTAATTATATTTACAAACGATTTGTTTACTAAAACAAAAATATTAACCAAATAGGAATTACATAAAAACATGTTCATTTTGTAAACAACAAAAACTTTACGAAAAAATGCCAGAACTTTATTAATCGCATGTAGTTTTAACTTACGTTACACAAATTTAAAACTAAAATGTGCTTTAACTAAGCATCGTTAATCAAAACTTTAAATGTAAAAACGTAATATTTAATATTCTTTTGCATATATTATTAAAAAATTTAAGTTTTTTAACTAAATTATAGAAAAAACAAAACTTTATGTTTTTGTTAACTTACGTTACATGAAAATTGTAAAAGTTCCTTTATTATTATCTTGATATTTTTTAAAGTATAAAATCTGAAAAAATTGAACATGTTAGCTTTATTTTTACACTTAATTAATTCGGATTATGCAAATAACTTAATGGTTAAAATAACATTTTTATGATGCGACAATGAGTAAAACTGTAATTTTCGGAAGCATAAAAATGACTTAAATAAATTAATTTTAGTACTAAAGATATATTTTAAATAAACTTTCATGTGTCTACATCAATATTGATCAGCTAAAAGTTGACAAAAAATAGAATAATTTTTTATTTATTTGAAGTGCATATTTAAAAGACTTCTTAATTTTTAATTAGAACAAATTATATCAGATTTAACACATCAAAACATTAAAATCAGCAGGTAAAAACAGATTTAGACACTTTATTTAGAAGTACTTATTTTAAAAGTGGAAAATCAATAAAAAAAAACTTTTTTTGTTGTTGCTGTAATACATCTCCTTCATATGATTTCAGCACTAATAGTTCATGATAACTTATATGAATAATAAAAAATGTAAATGTATAAACTTTTATAAATAACTTATTTACAAAGTGAATGGGTCAACTAATGCCCAACCACCAAGACATTCCTCATTTTTAGGAAGAAGAGATAGTTCAGAGTGACGCACAAGTTGAGTAATACACTCTTCTTTTTCAGAAGTCCATATTTCATCTTCTTCATTAACAATTGCGCTTCCATCAATCAACAACAAATCTTCTGTTACTGGGTTTCCAAGCATCATATCTAGATAAAATAATTTAGCTTTTTAAAAATTTGTTTATTTACACTAGGGGTGGACCAATGCATTGCCATCAGCCAATGCCAATGCATCAACTATTTAACTGATGCATGCAGTCTTGGTAACCATGGCTAATGCCAATTGTTTTAAAAAGCAAATTTTTTATTTTCCTGTTTCTATATTGTATGCAAAAATATAATAATTCCATAAACCAAAATGCATGTATAATCCTAAGCTATTATATAGACATCTGCAACGACTATACCTTTATATATATTTTTAAATTTTTTTTATCAGGAGCTCACTACATTTAGTGTCTTTTAATAATTTGGGAAAGTAATTATATGACTTATGGATCCAATGTGTGTGTGTATATATATATATATATATATATATATATATATATATATATATATATATATATATATATATACATATTTTTTTTTTTTAAACATCTTCACTTCCAACAAGGCTGCAAGCAACCATTAATTAGTGTTGGAAGTTACTGGAAGAGAAAAGATAAAGATTGTAGAGCAAGATAATGATTGACAGACGATTTAAAAGATTGCAAATTATATGAATCAGGAAAGCAAGATGAAGGAAGCTAATTCCAAAGAACTGATGTTCGAGGAAAAAAACTAGACGAGTAAGAGTTTTTGGAGCACTTAGGAACAGTAACAGAAAAAGGATGAGACTTAATTGAATGACAAGTAACACAAGAATGAGTTTTAGTAGATGGCACAAGAGACGCTAGCTCTTTAGAGCAGTTCCCATTATAGTATTTGTAGAAAAGAGAAAGAGAAGCAACATTACAACGATGTGACAAAGGTTGAAGATCGGCTGCAAGAGCAGGTCTAACTATGTTTACAATGCATTTTTGCACCTTGTCTAAAAGAGAAAGGGCATCATTAGAAGATCCGCCCCAGATATGGCAACAGTATTCCATACAAGGCCGGATTTGAGATTTGTAGAGATAGAGAATATAATCCAGAGTAAGAAAGTGTCGAGCTCGATAAAGAGAAGCAACTTTAGCAGATGCTAATTTTGCAACTGATTTGATATAAGGTTTCCAAAAAAGATCAGAAGAGTTAATCCTAGAAGATGAAGGATAGGAGACTCATCGAGTACATTACCGTTCATAAATATAGGAAGGTCTAAATTATTGCGATAACAATTGGCTGAAAAAAAATTGAGTTTTATATGAATTAAAGTTCACCAGCCACTGTGAGCCCCATGCTGTAGCAGAAGTGAGATCCTTTTCAAGCTCAGATGCCCCCTGCAAGCAATCAGAGGGAGTTGGCTTCTTATCGTGACAAGAATAAATGGTAGTATCATCAGCGAACAATGCCACCTTAGATGTGAGAATATCAATTAATGATATTCTCACATCTAAGGTAATAAGATCGTTAATGTCAATTAAAAAAAGTATAGGGCCAAGGATTGAACCTTGAGGAGCCCCTGAGGTTACAGAATAAGAAGAAGAGTGCTGTCCATCGAGGACAACTTTTATACTACGATTGGAAAGGAACGATTCAATAATCTTAAAGGTGTTTCCAGATACACCGAAAGAAGAAAGCTTATGGAGAAGACCAGCATGCCAAACTTTATCAAACGCTTTAGAAATGTCAAGAGCGATGGCCATAACCTCTCCACCTTTATCTAATGCGCGATAAAACCTATCGGTTATTACTGATAGCAAATCAGCCCTAGAACGAGAGGATCGAAATCCATATTGATGATCAGAAAGTAGGTTATGAGATTCGAGATTAAGTGTTTGTTAATTAAAGATTCAAAAACCTTGCTTATGATAGGAAGAAGACTAATGGGACGGTAGTTAGACGAATCGGATCGCTCTCCAGAATTTTTAAAAATAGGGATAACAGATGCTGCTTTCCAGCAGGCTGGAAAACAAGACTCTGATAAGCACTTGTTAAATAGTTTTGAAAGGATAGACGACAGTCTAAACAGGAAATCACTTTAGATACAGAAGCTGGAGTGATACGGATTTCGAGCAATGGATCAACCTGTTTGACGGCTATATCAGGTAGAACGCAACTAGTGGAAACAAGAGATGATATTATTAAAAAGTTCTTGGCAAACAATTCAGCTTTGTCTTTAGGTGAGGTGACAAAATCTGAACCATACAAAAAAGGTGGAATTACAGACTTGCCCTTATTTTTGATACTATTAAAGATTCTCCAGAAGTCACGAGAGCCTAATTTTTGTGATGATATACAAGATTTTATGGTCTGAGAAAAGAAGGCTTTGGCGTTAGACAAAACCTTTTTACAATGGTTCCTAGCAGTAATAAACAGATGTCTGTTTTTTGGAGAATTGTTTTGCTGATAGATATGGAAGTAATAGTTTCGATTGGCAGTTGCAGCAGCACAATGTGAGGAAAACCATGGAGAAGAGCGAGACTTGACCTGGAACCGTCAAGAGGGAATAAAGGATTCCATGCCGACCTGAATCCACAAAGATATGTAAGAAGCACATTTGTCAACAGGAAGACGAAAGATATACACACACACATATATAAATTTATGTTTATATAAATCAACAATGAGCAAAGCAACTAAAAATTAGCAAATAAGCAAGCATTAAAACTAACTGTTAAAATTATATTTGAAAAAAATCCTAATTTAACTATTAGTAAAGAAAAAAGTACTTCGAAAAAAATAATTTGAATTTAGAGCCGATG